AAAAGCTTCTCAAAGACATCAATGGCCAAAGGCCTAACATCAAGTCAAAAAGAATTAGGCATAAGTGCATCCAATTTTGGTTTCCCACATGTAGCATGCCATCCAACAATTTTGACCACAAAAGTAGCCCAAAGATTTGGACTTTGACTACATGTTTGAGTCAATAATCAACAATCTCCACCTTGACTCAAACCCTCTAAGTAGAACTCCAAATAGTCATCTCCCAATCCCCCATGGGGCAATCAACAAATTTTACAAACGCCAATCAAGTCTAAGCAGTGCTTAAACTTGTGCAACGAAACTGGCTTCGTTAACATATCCGCAGGATTGTCAGCGGTCCCAATCTTCTGAAGAAGAATATCTCCCTCGTCAATAACCTCACGAACAAAATGGAACCTCACGTCAATGTGTTTCGTACGTGCATGATGAACTTGATTCTTTGCTAAATGTATAGCACTCTGACTGTCGCAATAAACATCCACATGGTCTTGTTGAACCCCTAAGTCATCAAGCAACCCTTGAAGCCAGATGGCTTCCTTTATAGCTTCTGTCACAGCCATGTATTCTGCCTCAGTAGTCGACAAAGCAACTGTAGATTGCAGAATCGACCTCCAACTTACTGGACCTCCAGCAATAGAGAATACAAAACCAGTAGTGGACCTACGCTTGTCCAAATCACCTGCGTAATCAGAATCCACATATCCAACAACACATTTACCAGTAACTTTATCCTGCTGGAACAATAAACCAACATCCACAGTACCCAGAATATACCGTAGAATCCATTTCACAGCTTGCCAATGCCCTTTTCCTGGATTATGCATATATCTACTGACAATGCTAACAGCTTGTGAAATATCAGGCCTAGTACACACCATAGCATACATCAAACTACCAACAACATTTGCATAAGGAATTTGAGCCATGTACTGACTCTCTTTAACAGTTTTAGGAGACATAGAAGCGCTAAGTTTGAAATGAGAGGCAAGAGGTGTACTAACCGGTTTTGAATTTTCATTCATCCTGAAACGTTGTAGTACCTTCTTCTTCAAATACTGCTTCTGACACAGACTAATCTTGCCCTTCGCTCTATCTCTTTCAATTTCCATACCTAGTATCTTCCGAGCTTCTCCCAAGTCCTTCATCTCAAATTCATTACTTAGTTGAGTCTTCAACCTTGTAATCTCCACTTTGCTCTTACATGCTATAAGCATATCATCAACATATAAAAGCAGATAAATGAAGGTTCCATCTTGTAGTTTGCGAAAGTATACACAATGGTCATAGTGACTTCTTGTGTACTTCTGCCCGATCATAAATCTATCAAATCGCTTGTACCATTGTCTTGGAGACTGCTTCAAGCCATACAATGATTTTTCCAATTTGCAAACCCAATTTTCCTTTCCAGCAACCTTAAAACCTTCTGGCTGAGACATATAAATCTCTTCCTCCAAATCACCATGTAAGAACGCAGTCTTGACATCAAGTTGGGCCAACTCAAGGTCAAACTGCACAACTAAAGCCAACAGAATACGAATAGAAGAATGTTTTACTACAGGAGAAAATACCTCATTGTAGTCAATGCCTTCCTTCTGAGCATAGCCTTTAGCTACCAATCTGGCTTTGAATCTTACATTGTCTTTTCCCAAAGATTCCATCTTTTTGGCATACACCCATTTACAACCAATTGCTTTCTTCCCCTTTGGTAACTGAACCAGCTTCCAAGTCTCATTTTTATGAAGAGATTTCATCTCCTCATCCATAGATTTCTTCCACAACTCGCACTCTGAACTCATGACAGCTTCTTTGTAGGCGGATGGAATATCATCTTCAATAACGGGAAGTGCATATGCCACAATATCAGTAAATCGAGCAGGCTTTCGGATTTCCCTTCTCGATCTTCTGGTTGCAATATAGTCTTGTTGCTGTGGAGGCTCTTGGGTAGGTGCCTCCTCTTCATCATCATCCTCGTCCTCATCATCAGAATTAACTGTAGGACTAGTGATTGAAACATCAGACCTTACTGGAACAACTGGAGTCTTCAGTAACTCCACCTGCTTTGAGCTCCTCATGGTTTTGGTCGCTTCAGTTTCACCTTCATGCTTGTTCTGATTAACCATAGCAGCAGCCTCATCAAAAGTCACATCTCTGCTTACAACAAATTTCTTCTCATCTGGACACCAGAGTCGGTATCCCTTCACGCCAATGCTAAAGCCCATAAATAGAGCTTTCTTTGCTCTTGGATCCAACTTGCTTTCTCTGACATGATAGTAAGCAGAACAACCAAATATGTGTAAAAACTTGTAATCAGTACAAGGTTTACTAGACCATACCTCCATGGGCGTTTTGCCCTCATTCGCAGCAGCTGGCAATCGATTAATGAGATGGCTTGCATAAGTGAGTGCCTCAGCCCAAAACGCCTTGCCTAATCCAGCATTAGACAACATACACCGAACTTTCTCAAGCAAAGTACGGTTCATGCGCTCCGCCACCCCCATTCTGTTGCGGTGTCTCCCTAGGTGTCTCCCTAACCGTGAAGTGCCTCACAATACCCTCATCTTGACAAACTTTCAAGAAAGGATCAGACTTATATTCACCCCCATTGTCTGATCTGAGAGTCTTGATCTTTCGACCGCTTTGCGTTTCAATCATCTTTTTCCACTTCAGGAATATCTTCAAGACTTCATCTTTACGCTTCATGGTGTACACCCATATTCTTCTAGAGAAGTCATCAACAAAGGAGACAAAATAATGGCTACCTCCCCAAGATGCATTCTTGGAAGGTCCCCAAACATCAGTGTGAACATAATCAAGAATGCCCTTAGTGTGGTGAATAGCAGTGCCAAATTTTACTCTAGTTTGCTTACCCAACACACAATGCTCACAGAATTCCAATTTGCATGCCTTTGCACCTTTCAATAAGCCTTGCTTCACCAATCCTTGCAACGCTTTTTCACCAGCATGCCCAAGACGCATATGCCATAACCTCGTGGTGTCTGTGCTATCTGCGTCAGCAGCTTCGGTGACAGCTGCTCCACCAATAACTGTATTCCCCTGCAAGAAATACAAGTTATTTCGTCTTGTACCTTTCATCACCACCAGTGCCCCGTACACAGCTTTAAGAACTCCACCCTCCATGGTGATCTTGAGACCCTTGGATTCCAATGCACCCAGTGAGATAAGATTTTTCTTCATATCCGGTACATACCGAACATCACTTAATTCTCTGACTGTTCCATCATGCATCTTCAAACAGATTTTGCCTATCCCTTGTGTTTTTGCAGGCATTATTATTACCCATCAAAACAACTCCACCATCCAGCTCCTCGAAATTAGAAAACCATTCCCGAATGGGACACATATGATAGGTGCAACCTGAATCCAAAATCCACTCATTGGAGTGACCATCAGCATATGAACTAGCCAAAGCAAACTCGAAATCATCATCTCCAGATTTTGCAATATTTGCTTCAGAACCCGCTTTCTCCTTCTCTCTTTGTTCTTCAATTTGGGGCAGTCTTTCTTCCAATGACCCTTTTGGCGACAAAAAGCACATTCATCTTTAGCAGGAAACTTCCCTCGTGACTTTGAACGAGATTTTCCCCGCTTCCCAGATTTTTCTTTCCTCTGTTCGACCCCTTGCAACAAATGCCTCGGTTTGTGTGAATTGTGAGTCTTCAATTCCTTCTTACGACACTCATGATTCACCAATGCCGCAGACACCTCATCAAGTTTTCACCTCGGATTTTCCATACAACAGAGTAGTTGTCAAATGATCATAATCATCAGGCAATGAATTTAACAAACATAGTGCCTTGTCCTCGTCGTCAGGAATTTTCACATCACATCAAGGTTTGCTAAATCAGCAAGTATTTTATTATAATCATTGAGGTGTTCGTGCATAGAGATACCTGGACGATACTGAAATCGGAAGAGTCGCTTCTTCAAGAAGAGACGATTTTCTCTGCGCTCTTGGTCATATACTTCTCCTCCAATTTCGTCCATAACTCCTTAGCAGAAGTTTCCTTCATATACGGGTATTTCAACTCCTTATCAAGGAACGATCGAATCGAATAGCAGCACAAGCATGAAGATTAATTCGCGTCCACTGCTTGTCATCAATATCTTCTGGTTTATCTTCCAGAACCATATCCAACTCTTGTTGATACAACACATCCATAACTTCACATTGCCACATACCAAAATTATTAGAGCCATTGAATTTATCAACCTCTAACCTTGTAGTAGTGGTTGGATGTCTATTGGATGAAGACGAAGACGATGCTGACTCCTTCCTTACAGATTCATCTTTATCTCCAGCCATCTACTCTCGGTACTGTTCACAAATACGGCACTGTTCACAGGTACAATACTGTTCACAGATATTGTAGCAGTTCACTGTTCATTGAACTGTAGCGCCAACACTATTCACGGAACTGGGCTCTGATACCACTTGTTGTGCGGAAGCGGCGTACGACTGTAAGTGAATAGTAAAACAGAACAGAATAAAACCAACACCAACAAGAACACCAAGATTTATACTGGTTCGGCAATGCCTACATCCAGTTTGGAGACGACGGAGTATTCCACTATAATCAATGAGAACATACAATAGTGTTTATCACTCAATTTCCCAAAGACCCAAATAACCCCAAGCTCTCACACTTACAATAGGAAGAGAAAACCAAAAATACAAAACAAGACAATTTGAGAAAATTCTTCTCTATGCCAAATGGCTTCTTGCTATTTTTCTCTCTTCCTTGTTCTTCTCTACTTCTCCATGCTTATGAGCTACACCTTGCTCTCCTTTTATAGCCAAAGAAAAGCTTCTCAAAGACATCAATGGCCAAAGGCCTAACATCAAGTCAAAAAGAATTAGGCATAAGTGCATCCAATTTTGGTTTCCCACATGTAGCATGCCATCCAACAATTTTGACCACAAAAGTAGCCCAAAGATTTGGACTTTGACTACATGTTTGAGTCAATAATCAACATATAGAAGGTATAGTTCACTTCCTAGACTTAAATTCAAAAGATTGCGGTGCTTTAAGGTGGTGGAACTAGAATCAGGATTCAGGTATGTAGGACAATCAGTTTTATGCTCGTGGTGCACGGCCTGACTAGCTAAGCTATATGAGTTGATGTACATGCTAAAACGAAATTAGAAAAACAGAAGAGAGGTGACGAAAAGTCTCTATTCCTACCTGATTTTCTGAAGATGTGGTGATCGGATTGACGTTAAATTTGGATATGTTATCGTACTCGAACAGACGAACTAGATTCGTGAAGAACACTTTTCGATTTGAGTTACATAAGATGGATATATTGAATCATCAAGAGCAGAATAAATAGGATAGACATGTTCTCAGTTTCATCAAGATCAGGATTCATGTCCCATTCCTCGTGCAGAACCTAAATAGGATTGACATGTTCTCAGCACGATTCCCTAACATGATGCTAACGATATCTTCAGAAAATGAACCTTAAGATTAGGACTGACAAGAGCAGCCCCCATGGTGTTGCGAGTTTCCAAGGTGTCCACTTGCAGCATTAGGCAAGATGACCAGATTGTTGATCAGGAACTGTAGCTCATTCTCATAAACATCAAGGCGCGTGCAGAAATGCTAGTTTATTTAAAACACTGAATATTCAATCAAGTACATCTGACAAGAATTCAGATATGGTCGCTGTCTCTACAAGTCAATGGGGAAAGCTCCTGTGGTTCGAATATGATCAAGAGTCCTCCTTAGACCATGCTTGAGCACTGCTTGATTACCTGCCCTGAATCCTTGCCCGTAAATTGTTGTATTTGTCTCAATTGAATATTTAAAAAATTCACCAAGCTTCTTCCCTTCATTAGACATTGTCGAACTAGACCCCGAAGACGTCTCAGAGTCCAGCCACGTATGGGCCAACACTTGGTAGATACCATATCCAACCTCTGGGCTCAGATTCCGATAACCATTCAGCCTTAGCCATGCGTGCATCATCAATGCAGCCAGAATTGACCCTGAGAGCAACCTAGGAAGGCCATACAGCATCCGAATTGATGTTATTCTACTGTGTCCCTTCAGCATCCTTAGAATACTAGTAACGATAGGTTCTGCCGAGAAAACTGCTCTAGTCTCTGGCAGGTAGTGATGACCGAGCCTTTCTACCTTGGTGTCCTTATTTAGTGTTCGTCTCCCAACCAAGATTACTGGGATTTGCTGCTCAAATTTCATATCTAAATCTTCAAAGAAAGCTTGTACTTGAAGAAAAAGGGAATTGCACTTGTGATCATCCATAATTTCCGAGTCATTACACTCCGAGCATTGCTTCCGACCATCAGGAAGTAAAAAATATTTGGTCGCCCATGGCTCCATTCTTTCACAGCTATAACACCTAGGAGTTCCATCGCGCTCGTGAGAGGGGCAGTATTTTTGTAGCCAGAAAGGATGTTGCCTATACTCAATAAGACCGTCTGATTTTCTAATAGGGATAAGAGTCTTGCAAACATCGCAGTTTGGAAAGTGCTGCGCCTTATAGCACGATACGTGGTAAGGGCTATCTTCGGAAACAGAAAACTCATGATCAGTAATTGGAAGTTTACAAGTGATGCAAACAAAACATTCAGGATGCCAAAAAGCTCCGATGCATTCTAAATACCGCCCACGCTCAATATTCCTGTTGCAGCCAGCACATACCCTGAATCCATCATTATTGACACATGGTGGACGAGAATCCAAGTTCAAACTTTCTGGAAGACCCTCCGCAAACTCATCATATAGTTCATGGTCATGCTCCTCTAACAGACGTTCATCCCTTGTTGTAACGATGATTCTGCTACCCAGACCAAACCAGTTTTTATTTCCAGCCACTCTTGCTAGTTGGCCTAACTGATCCACACCATCAAGAACGAGAAGAACCTTTTTATTATTAAAACATTTCTTTGTCATTACGGTACCAGCATAATCGTCCACAACTTGTGTATTGGTTTTCAGAACAGAGGAAAGAAGCTGACTTTGCAGATGAATGAGACCATATGTTGCAGAAACCTTTCCCACATCAGCAAGAAAACAACTTACTTCAAAATAATGGGAAAATTCGTCATAAAATTGTCTAGCAGTGAACGTCTTACCTATCCCAGCTTCCCCAAATATGCCTATAAAACGAACATCATTTGCTTCTAGATCCAAAAGAAAATGTAATTTTTTCGGTCTAAAATCAATTCCCGCCATCTTCTTTGCAGAACCTAACAATTTGAAAGTGGGATGCACTCTGTTACTTACTATTTTGACAATCTGGTTGATGAGCTCAGTCTCATAACTGCAACACAAAAAATGAAGTAATCGTCAAACACTCGCTTTTTTTGATAATATGAATATCATAAATAATTTATGTACAACAAATTTCCATTCGTTTATTCGTACCTATAGTCATCTGACTTCATCCCTGCTATTACGCTCACTTTCTCTAAAGCACGTCTCCATTCTTGCAACTTTCTCATGTCCTCGCTAAAGTTTCTTTCATGCTCGTCAAAGGCCGCTTCGAAAGTTCCTTTTTGCTCTCGAACAAGGGAGGGCTCTACACCATATAATATTGGAATGATTGCATTCCTTACTTCCACGCATTTAAGTATATGTACAAGTTCATCCAAGCACCAAGTAGAAGAAGCATAGTTTGGTGACAGAACAATGATGGCAAACTGTGATTCTTCGACAGCAGTCGAGAGAGTTGAAGAAATATTGGTGCCTCTTTCAATTCCCGAATTGTCCCTGAAAGTCCTAATTGCTTGGCGCACCAGATTGTTGTACAAATGATCTGTGAAAGTCTTGCGGGTGTCTTTACCCCTAAAACTCAAGAACACATCATACTTCCATCGAGGAGGTGCAGGATCAGATACGGAGGCTCGTTCCTTGCTCAAATCCATTGAAAAATGGTTGTTGAAATCTGCTCCAAGTTAACAACCAATTAAGAAAGCTCAGTGGAATAGTAATATAAGCTAGAGTTTTAATATGCTCTTACTTAAAAACAGAGGGGGCGTTGAGGGAGAGCGAAATGTGTAATCACACAAGATCTTAAATTTTAAGGGCTCAGAAAATTTGTCATCTAAATTTACATATGATAATGCTACATATTAAAAAAAATTGATTTTAATAGTACTTTAAGATCTCATTGTGCACTTCTTATAAGCGTATTTTCTTTTTAAATATAAAAAATTAGAGTGCATAATTAAATATTTGAAGTGTCAATAACAACACCCTAGAAACGATTTATTTTTTCAATTTATTATATAATAATGTTATATATTCAAGGGAAACTTTGAAATTAGAGTTTTTGAAGCTTTTTTTCTTGTTTGGTTGTTTAGGATTGAAGTGTTTTTGATTATTTAGTGAAAGTTATGATTGTAACTATTTTTACTTATTACTTAAAGAAATAAATCCTAAAATTTGTTTTAGAAAACTATCTTATGGAGGGACCTTTTTATAAATTTTGCATAAGACTTCCAAAATCTCAGAGACCCCGCCCTGCTTATAAATAATGATCTGCGCGTTTTCTTGGTTGCATTTCTTTTTCAGCTCTCTGTAATTTAAAAATACTGATCTGCGCGTTTTCTTGGTTGCATTTCTTCTTCAGCTCTCTGTAATTTAATTTTTTTTCTCTTTGGTTTTGGTCAACTTTTAGCTATTTCTTATTTGAATATGTTGGAAGAATTGGTCCTGGGAGTTACACGGTTTCTTTCAGCCCTAATCTTTTATTCATTATGTATACCTAATACCGAGCATTCCAGGAATTGCCATGGATTCAGACTTGTCGATTTCATCTGCTTGTTTTTTTTCCCCTGACGGTTCAAAAGCTATACAACATTTGACGAGTCATATTATATTATATATTTAAAAAATTTTAATAAAAAGAATTTGGACTAATTTTAAATTTATCAAAAACAACATTATAATTTTATTTAATAAAAAAGGCATGAATTTCAATGAACAGAACAAAAACTAGAAGAAAACAAGTCCAAATAAAAGGCTCACGAGGTGGAAGCAAGCCCAGGTGCAAAATAATTTTTTTTTTTTTAAAGTCCATGCCCTGATGGAACACCACTTCCGTCCGTCAGATGGGCATAGACTTGTCTATTTCTCTTTTTTTTTACTATTTGAAAGTTGGTTTGGTGTGCCCACGTCGGTGCCCTTCATTATGTCTTTGGTTTTTTAGAAAAACTAATTAAAATGATTTAAAATTTTTGAGTTTTAACAATAAGGACAAAATAAAATGTAAAGTGAATAGTATCCGAATTGACTTTTTAATATAAAAATGTGATTTTTTCGTTAAAATGAACAGTACCAGAAATTTTTCGTTAAAATTCTCATGTTATTTTTGTTTTTGGGTCAACATGCCGTTCATTATGTCATTTGTCTTCTTTTGGGCAGCCCTAGGAAGGCTCCCTCTTGGGTTGGACAAAAAATAAGGACTAAGCGCCACTAGTCCAAGTTACAAGGAAGCTTTTAAAAAATGCTAGGCTCTAGTCAGAAGATGGCAGGTTGGGACCTAACGCCTAAGCGGTTAGATGAGGCCTAAGCAGACGGTTAGACGGATTAGAAGGATTTAAGTAAATCTATTATGTTTCATGTAAATAATTGTTTGTTTATACTTAAAATATATATAATTTCATCATAAACTACAAAATATAAAGATAATGTTGGTTATTTTGTTGTAGTTTCAGAAATAGTGTTTATTTTTTTCCGATAAATATTGAGATGCAAGGTTTGAACCGGAGGAAAAACTTGCACACCTCATCTGGTGACTTGAATTTTGAGATGCAAAAACTGAAGCAATATCATTAGCATTCCAAGTATTACAACTTAAAGGGGCATTCAATCTTTGCGGAGTGATTCTTTGTGGGACTACCAGTTCCAGTACGATCTGCCTTGTCATTTATGAGTTCCTTCTTAAGGATTGCAACTTGTACATCTCCTAATAGCGTAACAATCACAACTGGAGGCCCATAGCCTTGCAATGAGAGATGATGTTGTCAGCTATAGTTGCTGTTCCATTGAGTTCTTCCACATCTTGCTTGTACACCAAACAAGCCCCACATTTCTTTGGCTTCAAGTCTGCTATTAACCTGCGATCTAAATCCTTTGAATAATAAAAGGTATCAAATGAAATCGTAATCTGACCAGGTTTGATAATCCTTTCCCGAGAAACATAAAGTACCCAAAGGTGATCCGACACAGGATGACGTATTTTAGGACGAGAGTCCCAATGCTGGCAAGAAAAATGTTGCGACGAGCATTGAATTCCAAAATGATCACAATACGCATATATATACTCAGGGAGAGGATTGATTTGTCTGCTCCGAGAAAATAGCACACAAAACAATTCCCATCACCCTGCTACATGAATGTGGGGGTATCTCCACAGTTAGTGAATTTCCCACACTTTGATGACTGAACCACTCAGGAATATAGCTTCCAGGAATTACCGTATGGAATTGCTTGACAGATCGAGAAATTCTCTGGACCATAGAAACAATTATATCAAACGAGAGAGAGAGAGAGAGAGAGAGAGAGAGAGAGAGAGTACCTGAGGCAATCTCCTTAGCACTGAAAATATGATACCGTTACAACCATGATTGTCAACTACTAGACCAGAGCAATTAACAGCACTGAAAGAAAATTCTAACAGAGAGAGAGAGAGAGAGAGAGAGAGAGAGAGAAGAGAGTACCTGAGGCAATCTCCTTAGCACCGAAAATATGATACTGTTACAACCATGATTGTCAACTACTAGACCAGAGCAATTAACAGCACTGAAAGAAAATTCTAACAGATTGGCGTAGAGGCCCAACTTTGGTGGTGGAACAGACAGCATGCTTAAGGAAGTAGAATCATCTGTGAATTCATATAATGTGCTATTTAATGGAAGAACTGACAATTGGCGAAGGCTCTTGCAATTCTCCAAATATAATACTGAAAGCTCAGAAAGCCGTCTAATGCTTTCAGGGAGGGTAACAAAATTGTTTCCACTAAGATTTAATTCTTCTAAAGAGGACAAGTAGCCAATATCTTCTGGAACTGCTCCTTCACAAAGATTCAAGTCTCTCAGATCGAATACCTTCAAAGAACATAAGCCCTTTGAAGAAGTGAACACCGAACAACCCAAAGAGTGGGGAATCCTTCTTTTAAAAATCCCAAAAGTATACCATGATGCAGGAGATCCAGAAACAGATAACTTTAAAAAAAATTTCAAATGAACAAGTTAAGATGGCAACTCTTTTAATGCAGTTCGACTCAGATCAAGTTCCTCCAAATAGTCCATCACTCCCAAGCTTTCGGGGAGTTTGCTAAGTTTTGAGCACCCTAACATATTGAGAAGTTTAAGAGACTTGCAATTAGAAATGACACTTGGAACACACAAGAGACTTTGACAACCATCTAGATGTAGTTCAACAAGGCCAATCAGACATCCAATTGATGGAGGTATTTCCTTAATAGCAGTCTCACTTAAAATAAGACGTGACAGATTTTTCATGTCTCCAACAAACTCCGGAATCTTTTTCAGATTGACACATCGAGAGAGACTCAGAAATTCAAGAGACTCCATTGCTATCTCACTTGGGAGACTCTTCATACTCATACAATTCTTAAAGTTCAAAATCTTAAGCCTTTTGAGAGCTGCAATGGATGGGTGGATCTCAATTAAATCATAACAACCTTCAAGTACTAACCTCTCAAGATTCTGAATTTCTGTGAAATATGGGGTCCTGATTAATTTTGAGAAACTAAGATCCATATGTTTCAAGTTGGACAAGCGCTGCAGAATAATAGCAAGTGGTGATTAGATTAAAAACCCTTGATTTATAAAAAAAGGTTGTAAAAATGCAAACATAAATACGTCTAAATACATACTCCATTATTGTACCTTTCTTCCATTCCAAAGTTGAACAATTTCACAAGTAGGCAAACTAAGTACGGTAAGAGAGTCCAGTTCAAAACTTAGTGGTAGAGATTTGGATGGATAATATCTCCACTCCAGAAATCTTAAAGAATTAGGAAGAACTTCAGAGCCAGGAGAAAGGAACAACAAACAAACAAACAAACAACAACAAAGCCTTTTCCCACTAAGTGGGGTCGGCTATATGAATCCTAGAACGCCATTGCGCTCGGTTTTGTGTCATGTCATCCGTTAGATCCAAGTACTCTAAGTCTTTTCTTAGAGTCTCTTCCAAAGTTTTCCTAGGTCTTCCTCTACCCCTTCGGCCCTGAACCTCTGTCCCGTAGTCACATCTTCGAACCGGAGTGTCAGTCGGCCTTCTTTGCACATGTCCAAATCACCGGAGCCGATTTTCTCTCATCTTTCCTACAATTTCGGCTACTCCTACTTTACCTCGGATATCCTCATTCCCAATCTTATCCTTTCTCGTGTGCCCACACATCCCACGAAGCATCCTCATCTCCGCTACACCCATTTTGTGTACGTGTTGATGCTTCACCGCCCAACATTCTGTGCCATACAACATCGCTGGCCTTATTGCCATCCTATAAAATTTTTCCCTTGAGCTTCAGTGGCCTACGACGGTCACACAACACGCCGGATGCGCTCTTACACTTCATCCATCCAGCTCGTATTCTATGGTTGAGATTTCCATCTAATTCTCCGTTCTCTTGCAAGATAGATCCTAGGTAGCGAAAACGGTCGCTTTTTGTGATCTTCGCTAGATTGCTCCGGTCATTAGTGTGGATAAGTATATAAATGGATAGAGATAGGAAAGCAAACACAAGATGTACGTGGTTCACCCAGATTGGCTACGTCCACGGAATAGAAGAGTTCTCATTAATTGTGAAGGGTTTACACAAGTACATAGGTTCAAGCTCTCCTTTAGTGAGTACAAGTGAATGATTTAGTACAAATGACATTAGGAAATATTGTGGGAGAATGATCTCGTAATCACGAAACTTCTAAGTATCGGAGTGTGGTGTCGTCTTGACTTGCCTTATCTGTCTCATAGGTAGATGTGGCATCTTCTCTGGAAGTACTTTTCCTCCATCCAGGGGTGGTATCTTTAACTGGTGGAGATGCACAAGGTAATGTATCAATTTCACTTGAAGCTTACTTGTAGTTTCAGGCTTGGTCAAGCGCGATACAAACCATGTAGTAGGAGTCCCCCAAGTCGCCGAGCTAGGGGGTCTGCTGAAAGAGGTGACAGACAAGGTAAGCAATCAGAGCTCCGACTGATTGTTCACCTTCTCCCCATCTTGCAACAGCATGAAGGATAAAGAGAAGAAAAATGAGAAGAGATGATATGAGATACTTTTGCTTTTGAAGAAGTAACTTTCCACAGGCTTATTCTTGAACTGAGCTGGAGGGTTTTCTGGTTTCCTCCAGAGTATAAGGCCGACTGAAGAATTTGAGGGTCAAAACAAGTCCATCAAATCTAGAGTACGTTCCACCCTGCTGATATGGGATACTTTTGCTTTTGACAGAGTAATGGATGTATCGACACGTGTGTTGTTACGCTTGTCTCCACATGCTTCCTTGTATCCTTCGCACTTGCCCTATCTGTTCCTCAAGCAGATGCGGAATCTTCCTTGGAAACATAAGATGTTGAAGATGAGTACTCGAGAGCAATGCCAGGTAAGTAATCAGGTAAGGGGTTCCAGGCAGTCAGTTCCTGGCTGGAAGCTTGATTCCAAGTGCTGACTGATTGCTCTCTTTCTCCTTGTCTTGCAGGTAAAAACAAGGCCAAAGGAAAAGATAGGGAAAAAGCATGATATGGGATACTCTTGCTTTTAACCCTGATGATATGAGATATTCTTGCTCTAGTATAGCTTGTTTGCAGAGGTATTATCGGGGGGAAAGAAAGCTGAATATTTCGAAAGGCTTCGTTGGGAGTGCCCTCTCAGATATGATGAAGGGTTGAGCATTTTTGCAGGTCTGCCTGTCCGTTGGGGATGGAGGTTGACATATATAGGCGTCTCCCTAACAACAAGTAGTAATGCTATTCCTTTACCCTGCTTGGTCATAGCACGGTAGTGGGAGCTGTCAGTTTCACATGTTTTAACTCTGTCAGAGCACTTTGAAAAAGTGGTCTGTGGTATCTGGCTCTCGAGATTCGGAGAACGATGCCTCTTCGATTTTTGAGAAAGCAATCATGCTGGGGGTCTGGCTCTCGAGATTCGGAGGGCGGTGCCTCTTCGATTTTGGAGCAAGCAATCTTGTTGGGAGTGTTTGTCTCGAATTTGAGTAAAGGTTGGGCATGTTTGCTAGTCTACCTTGCCACGAAGCACAAAGGTTGACACACAGGGACTTTCCAATTATCCAGCAATGGTACTGTTCCTTTACCCTCTCTTCGATTTTGAGAAAGTAGTCATGTTGGGAGAGTCTGGCTCTCGAGATTCGGAGGACGGTGCCTCTTCGATTTTGGAGCAAGCAATCTTGTTGGGAGTGTTTTCTCGAATGTGAGTAAAGGTTGGGCATGTTTGCTAGTCTACCTTGCCACGAAGCACAGAGGTTGACACACAGGGACTTTCCAATTATCCAGCAGTGGTACTGTTCCTTTACCCTTGTGGGTAATATTATGGTAGCTAGACCTTCAAAATTTATGTGTCTAAACTTTTGTTAGTGCTGTTTCTTTGCTATTCTTTTACCTTTCTTGGTCAGAGCGATGTAGTGGGAGCTGCAAGCTTCACGTGCTCAACTTTGGCAGAGAACTTTGACAAAGTTATCTGTGGTACCCATGAGCTATTGTTGCGTGTGGGAAGTGGGTAATTGAACAGTAAGATTCATGTGCTTTCTACTTCACTAGAAATCTTCGACAGAATGCCCATAATTTCTGCAAAGCTGAGTGTGCGTGTGACAGGTGCTGACAAGGCTAGAAAAGTAGGTGCCTCTTCGATTTCTGAGATCGGCCCTCGTGGTCTCTGAGCAGCCCAGCTTTTGAGAAAGCGAGCGCCTCTTCGATTGATTCGGAGAACGATGCCTCATCGATTTTTGAGAAAACAATCATGCTGGGGGTTTGGCTCTCGAAGATTCGGGGAGCAGTGTCTCTTCGATTTTTTGAGAAAGTAATCATGTTGGGAGTCTGGCTCTCGAGATTCGGAAGGCGGTGCCTCTTCGATTTTGGAGCAAGCAATCTTGTTGGGAGTGTTTTTCTCGAATGTGAGTAAAGGTTGGGCATGTTTGCTAGTCTACCTTGCCACGAAGCACAGAGGTTGACACACAGGGACTTTCCAATTATCCAGCAGTGGTACTGTTCCTTTACCCTTGTGGGTAATAATATGGTAGCTAGACCTTCAAAATTTATGGGTCTAAACTTTGTTAGTGCTGTTTCTTTGCTATTCTTTTACCCTTCTTGGTCAGAGCGATGTAGTGGGAGCTGCAAGCTTCACGTGCTCAACTTTGGCAGAGAAACTTTGGCAAAGTTATCTGTGGTACCCATGAGCTATTGTTGCGTGTGGGAAGTGGGTGATTGAACAGTAAGATTCATGTGTTTTCTACTTCCCCAGAAGTCTTCGACAGAATGCCCATAATTTCCGCAAAGCTGAGTGTGCGTGTGACAGGTGCTGACAAGGCTGGAAAAATAGGTGCCTCTTCGATTTCTGAGATTGGCCCTCGTGGTCTCTGGGGAGCCCAGCTTTTGAGAAAGCGAGCGCCTCTTCGATTTCTGAGATCGGCCTTCGTGGTCTTTGAGCAGCCCAACTTTTGAGAAAGCAAAAGCCTCTTCGATTTCTGAGATCAACCCTCGTGATCTCTAAGCAGCTCAGCTTTTGAGAAAGCAAACGCCTCTTCGATTTCTGAGCAGGCGCCTCTTCGATTTCTGAAGCTCCGTCGAGTGCAGATTTTTATAGGGGCTGGCATTAAGTTCTAAAGCACACTTGAATCTCCACCAGTAGAAGCTTCATTCTTGCACTTCTAAGATCTTGATTTGTCCGACCTCTTCTCTCTTCAAACACCTTTGAAAATGTCTGGCCCCTCCGACCGTCGTTTTGACTTGAACCTTGTTGAAGAGGCAGCCCCGCCTTCTCCAGACAACATATGGCGCCCATCCTTCGTCTCCCCTACTGGTCCTCTTACCGTTGGGGATTCCGTGATGAAGAATGATATGGCCGCTGCGGTGGTGGCCAGGAACCTTCTCACTCCCAAAGATAACAGACTACTTTCCAAACGGTCTGATGAGTTAGCTGTTAAGGATTCGCTGGCTCTCAGTGTTCAGTGTGCAGGTTCTGTGTCTAATATGGCCCAACGCCTATTTGCTCGAACCCGCCAAGTTGAATCATTGGCGGCTGAAGTGATGAGTCTCAAACAGGAGATTAGAGGGCTCAAGCATGAGAATAAACAGTTGCACCGGCTCGCACATGACTATGCTACAAACATGAAGAGGAAGCTTGACCAGATGAAGGAAACTGATGGTCAGGTTTTTACTTGATCATCAGAGATTTGTGGGTTTGTTCCAAAGGCATTTATTGCCTTCGTCTTCTGGGGCTGTACCGCGTAATGAAGCTCCAAATGATCAACCTCTGATGCCTCCTCCTTCTAGGGTTCTGTCCAGTACTGAGGCTCCAAATGATCCCCCTCCGGTGCCTTCTCTTTCTGGGGCTCTACCGACTGCTGAGACTTCTCCTAAGCAACCTTTGTGAAGGCTCCCTCTTGTGTGTTTATTTTGACTCATGTATATGTACATATTTGTAGCTTATCGGGGATATCAATAAATAAGCTTTCCTTCATTTCAACGTATTGTGTTAAATACACCAAAGCCTTCTTCGCTAAGTTCTTTGAATTTTCTTTTGTTGAAGCTTGTATGTTGAAGCTTTCTGAGTGGAGCATGTAGGTTGGGGTAGTGTTCCCTTAATTTCCCGAGTGAGGAAAACTTCTCGGTTGGAGACTTGGAAAATCCAAGTCACTGAGTGGGATCGGCTATATGAATCTTAGAACGCCATTGTGCTCGATCCTGTGTCATGTCCTTCGTTAGATCCAAGTACTCTAAGTCTTTTCTTAGAGTCTCTTCCAAAGTTTTCCTAGGTCTTCCTCTACCCCTTCGGCCCTGAACCTCTGTCCCATAGTCGCATCTTCTAATTGGAGCGTCAGTAGGCCTTCTTTGCACATGTCCAAACCACCGTAACCGATTTTCTCTCATCTTTCCTTCAATTTCGGCTACTCCTACTTTACCCCGGATATCCTCATTCCTAATCTTATCCTTTCTCGTGTGCCCCACACATCCAACGAAGCATCCTCATCTCCGCTACACCCATTTTGTGTACGTGTTGATGTTTCACCGCCCAACATTCTGTGCCATACAGCATCGCCGGCCTTATTGCCGTCCTATAAAATTTTCCCTTGAGCTTCAGTGGCATACGGCGGTCACACAACACGCCGGATGCACTCTTCCACTTCATCCATCCAGCTTGTATTCTATGGTTGAGATCTCCATCTAATTCTCCGTTCTTTTGCAAAGATAGATCCTAGGTAACGAAAACGGTCGCTCTTTGGCATTTCTTGATCTCCGATCCTCACCCCTAACTCGTTTTGGCCTCCATTTGCACTGAACTTGCACTCCATATATTCTGTCTTTGATCGGCTTAGGCGAAGACCTTTAGATTCCAACACTTCTCTCCAAAGGTTAAGCTTTGCATTTACCCCTTCCTGAGTTTCATCTATCAACACTATATCGTCTGCGAAAAGCATACACCAAGGAATATCATCTTGAATATGTCCTGTTAACTCATCCATTACCAACGCAAAAAGGTAAGGACTTAAGGATGAGCCTTGATGTAATCCTACAGTTATGGGAAAGCTTTCGGTCTGTCCTTCATGACTTCGGCAAGTGTAATACTATGCCTTCAATATCTTCTGTTCCCTGATGAAAAAATAAGGGAGAAGTTAGTTCCATGACCAATTCCTATATCGTTTTAGAAGAAATTATAGTGCTGTATATCTAAGCTTGATATTTCTGCATAATTTCTTACCGTATTATTCTTCAATACATGAAAAATGTCCTCACGAAGCCACAACTGACTACGTCGTGCAGGCTCTTTAGACTTTCTACGAACAATTTTCCATGCCATTTCCTGTACCAAATCATGCATCTCCACATTCTTGCCTGAAATATATAAAAGAGATTTCTCAACGAGAACATCTATCCCGATACGTCCAGAAAAGTCACAGCAGTCAAGTATTTCAATTACTGTATCCTTGTCATTCCCCTTATGGAAGCATGCCACATCAAGAAAAACATTCTTCGTCATATCATCTAGTCCGCCATAACTTACTAGAAGCGTTTTAAATGTTGTCTCTTCTGGATCTTTCTTTAGTTTATCCAATGTACTTGTCCATGCACCTTGATCTCTTCCACACAAAAAGATTCCCAAAGTTTTCAGAGTTAAGGGAAGTTTGGCAGCATATTTAACAAAAGCTTTTAACAATTCCAGGTATTCGTCATTCGGATCATTTTTAAAGGCATGCCAACTAATGAGCTGAAGAGCTTTATCTTCACTTAATCCCATAAGCTCAAATTGTTTGATCTCAACGTCATGTGAGACCAGCAAACGTAGATCCCTAGTTGTAATGATGATTCTGCTCCCCACACCAAACCAGCGTTTGTCTCCAACCAATAATTCCAACTGCTCTAATTGATCCACATCATCAAGAACGAGAAGAACCTTTTTATTCCATAAACAATTCTTTACCATCATGCTTCCACCATAATACCCCCAAACCTGTGTAATTTTTTCCTTCAATATCGGGGAAAGAAGTTGTTTTTGTATATTAACAATACCATGTTTCGCCGCCACCTCCCTAACATTGGAACGAAAGGTGCAAACTTCAAATCTATGAGAAATTCTCTCGTAGACTAGCCTCGTAATGGTTGTCTTACCAATCCCACCCGTCCCCCATATCCCTACAGCAAGGACGTCATTGGCCTCAACGTCTAAAAGCACATCTAGTTGCTCTATTTTAGAATCAATTTCCACAAGCTTCTCTCTAGAACTCAATGTGAATGTGGGACGAACTTTGTTCCACACAATTTCATTTATAACTTCCATTTCATAGCTACACGAAAGAAAAAGAAAACTGTAAAGAACGAAACCTTTAATGCGTTACCACTATAGGACTGATCGGTTAATTGGTTCAGGGTGTTACCTGTCCTTTGAAGTCCATCCAGCAAGATTCCACAATTTTGTTAAAACAGCTCTCCAATGCCGCACCTTTGCTGAATCCTCCTGAAAGTTGTTTTTTGCTTCCATGCAATAAAAAATCTTTGAAAGTTCATCCAAGCACCAGGCGGACGAAGCGTAGTTCGGAGAGAGAACCACCACGGCGAACCTCGATTCCTCAATTGTACGAAAGAGCTCCGGAGATATGGATGCCGCGCCACAGCAGTTTGTCGTATAAATGGCCTGTGAAATTCTTGCGGGTGTCTTCACCCCTGAAACTCAAGAAAACGTCGTACTTCCATTGGGGAGGTGAAGAAGAACCAGACCCGGAGGCTCTTGGATCTGTCATCGCCATTAGACGACCCAGTTTGCAGCAGAGATATCTGGTAATTAAAAGTTGAGCAACAGATATACCAAATTTTTGAAACTCGAAACTGGAAAAACAATTTAAGTTAAGATATGTGTAGCAGAAGAAGATGGTGGATGGGAAGGGAAAATGAATACCTTTCTGGAGAAGGAGAAATGGAGGATACGACGACTGAACTTGACTTTGCCGGTAGTCTGTTCAGCTCTCCTGGTTGGAAAAGTAGCAGCTACTAAAGCCAAGCCATATCTTTGACCCGTTGGATATGGAGAGGATTCTTTACCCTCCTGTTCTCATTCCTTATTCTCATATATTATTTTGTAGGGAACTTTAACGAAAAGCACCTGGTACTGTTTACTTTAACGAAAAATCACATTTTTACACTAAAAAGTCAATCCTGGTACTATTCACTTTACCCTTTATTTTGTCCTTATCATTAAAACTTAAAGTTTTCAAGCCCTTTTTATTAGTTTTCCTATTTTTTATCTTATTATTTTTATAAAAAATCAATATAAGATGTTGACGTGGTTTAACCGTGACCGTTTAAATAGGAGGGCATGGAAGGGTAGATAATCCTCCTCCGTTGGATATTGGTGCCAAATTGGTTTAAACTAGTAGCAAGTGGAGGGCAAAAGTATGGATATTGAGGGCAAAGGATGGATATTGAGACCACTGGAGCAAGTAGTAGCAAGTTTTTTTTTTTTTTGTTGTGTGGGGGGGGGGGGGGATGGGGGTTGCTGATGGATATGCCCTAGTAGCAAGTAGTAGCTATCAAGGTATATCTTGACAGGTTGCATCAATGACATTTGATAGTGAATAAAATAATGCTTGGTTTTTTTAAAAAAAAACTTGTATCTAACACTGGAACCCTTAAAGTTCAAATTTTGAATCTGCCACTCAATAGAGCCAAATGGTTTAAACTAGTAGTAGCTGGAGGGCAGCAATACCAAAATTTGAAAATATTTTTGCTCAACCCCACTCAAATGCTGGTGATGCTCACCATCCTATTTATCATCGTTAAATGAGTTTAAATTTAGAAATATGTGTAGTGAATAGACACAAATATTAAAATTTAAAATTCATCTAATAGTAATTAGTAAAGTGGTGAGCATTACCACCGTTTGAGGGTCATGAGCAAAAATGCACCCCCAAAACCACAATACCAATTACCAAACCTAAAAATTCCGAATTCGCTGAATATTGTTTGAAAAATTGAAATGCATTTAGGTATTTTAAGAAGTTCGGCTAAGTCACACAATGTGTAACCTAATTTGATATTGAATTCGTCATCCACGAGATTTGAACCTAAGACCTCTCCCTTCCAAGTAAAGAGGAATACCACCAAACCGTAGTATTGAGTGGCTGTATTTTATTGTTTGTTTGAGTACCTTATGTTCTTTGATATTATATTTTACATAGACTTATATATTAAAAAGGATAAGCTAGTATACCAAAAAAAATAATTAATTGAAGTTATAGTTATACATGAGCATAAACCACATATTGAAAAAAGCAATGAATTGCATGTTCCAAAAATTTTCAAGATTACTCCAGATATTCTGAAATTGAAAATTGTGATCTGATCCGATTCAATTTCAAAGTTTTTAAATGAAAATTGAAAATATTATTTCCATCCCAACCCGTCAAACAATCACCATCTCTCCTTTCTCCACAACCTTGTTAAGTGAAGCCAAATAGAGGCCGGCCATTCTACCCTACAAGATCGGATGTTAGCCACCTCCAATTTGCAAGCCGGCAACATCTCAATTTCTTCTTGTTTTTTATACAAGTGATATTTCATAGGGAGTGAACACTCTTAACCAATTAGAACAAGCATCCCCTTGCGGAAAATTGTACTCAATTCACTAAAATTCCTTACAACTCGATCACAATGTCAAGATGGTAAACTCACAACACACACAGCTGGACAAGATAGCAAGACAGAGCAATAAAACAGGGGAAAAACAGAGGAGGCAAAGGGAAGCATCTCTCTCTAAGTACCAATCTATTCAATTTCATGCCTAAAACACATCAGTAGATACTAGATAGCAGTAGATAGATCGACAACTGATATCTAGTATCTACAATGTTTCCCAACAACGAACAAAGAGCGGAAAAGAGAAGAAACGGAAAAACCCAACGTACTAAACTATAAGCACATAAGTTAATTGAGGTTCGTAAATCCCTCGTTAAATTAAACAACGCTTTATTAGTCTTCCCTTTCTTTGGCTTCAAATCTTTCAAGGACCAGTTGGTCTTACAATCCCTGAATCGGACAGTACACCAAGCTCCTGTATTTATCCCTGGCTGTATTAAAGTATCTCCTAAAGCGTCCACTCTTCGGGATGTAAAGATGATGATCATTTAGTGTTCTCGGTCAACCTCAGTATTCATAATTATTGGGGGCTCGTTTTCAGCATTCATAACTGCAAACTGGTTTTGAGCATCCATAACTGCAAACTGGATTTGAGCATTCATAGTTGCTAGCTGGTTATGCGCATTCATAGTTGCGAGCAGGTTTGGAGCATTCATAACCAGCGCCAAGCCTTGGCACTCCTGGCACAGACTTCCACCGGGATCAAGTAAAAGATATGCAGCATCTCTTGGCTGCAATTGCCACAAAGACAACACCTAAGAGTCCCATCGCACACATGAAATGGACACTACTTTTGTTGGCCCTAAGGGTGAAGATTAAGGAGAAAATCCTTGCAAACATCACATCTTGGATGATGCTGCTCCTTGGTGATGCTTGCCTATCCTCTGAAGTCCACCCAGCGATATTACCCACTTTTGATAAAGCAGCTCTCCAATGTTGCACCTTTGCTAAGTCTTCTCTGAAGTTTCTTTCATGATTGTTGTAGAATTCAAAATAGTCCCCATTTGGTTTCAAACATTGGAGGGAACCACATCATAAAATATTGGCAAGCTTGCATTCCTAGCTTCCATGCGTTCAAGAATCTTTGAAAGTTCATCCAAGCACCAGGCGGAGGAATCATAATTCGCGGAGAGCGATGCCCAACCTTGATTCTTCTATTGCACACAAGAGATCTGGAGAAACATTTTTGCCTCCTTCAAGTTCTAGGTCGTCTCTGAAAGTTTTTAATCATATAAATGATCTGTAAAATCCTTGCGGGTATCTTCACCTGTAAACCTCAAGAACACATCATATTTCCATGGGTGAGCTGAGGAAGTAGGCGCCACAGAAGCTCTGCTCAATGCCATTGCAAAGTGATCCCGAGAAATGTGCTTCAAATACTGATCATTACCATCGAATCATTTCTAAACTGGTTCGTAGAATAAAAGGTTCAGACCAAAAATAAAAAAGAAAAAGAAAAAGCAGTGTATCACAAATTTCCTATACCACTAAGCTAGTCTCGAACAATACATAATATGCAATCTGCTCAATACAATCAATTAATACACAAAAAGATGATAAATGACACCAAAATGAAGAAAATCATACCTTGATTCTAGTTCCACCACTTTAAAGCACTGCAATCTTTTGAGTTTAAGTCTAGGAAGTGAACTATACCTTCTATAGGGTCTTCGTTTTGGGGCAGTGACTCTTGAATGCTAGCAACGTTTTATACTTAATAATAGGGATGTACGAAAGTAAACTGGAACTACGCTATAGCTGAAATCAAGGTAGGGGTTCTTTGGAGCCTCTGTAATCATACCTTGATGGTGTTTTTGGAACGGAAACAATGGAGAAAGGGAGATGCAGGGGAAACCTAAGAAGAACAGAGGAAGGGATGATGCCCTTTGACTTTCATGAAAAAGAGTATTGGAGTGGGAACTGTGTGTACCCTCTCTGCTTTAGCTCTGGAGAGGCTTTCAACAAAGGACCTTTCCCTTGACTTCTGTTTTACAAACAATAAAAAAAAATTTGGTTTCCAGGTAGGGGCACTTGATTTTTGACAAGTTCTTAAGCTATGTTACCTAGATGGTTTTGTTTTATAATTATTAAGTACTAGTAACTTGTTTGGATGATTAATCAGCTTAATAATCAAAAGTGTGAATGTCAGGCTTCTGGAAACTCCTTCGGCGTACCTTCATCTGCCAGTGGAGAAGATCTGACATTCATATCGATCCCAGACTCTGTCTTCAGAATGTCCATGGTCGGATTGTGCTGAGGTGAGGACAGCTTGCACATTGTCTTGTTTTGTGGTAGGATGAAGATCTGACATTCATATATTCACTCAGATATCATAACATATTGTTACTTATCTGGTGTTTAGTTCAATATGCTGCTGTCTAACAGTACTCAACAAACATATTCTACACCAACCAAAACACCCGACCTTCAATTGCCACATGACACTTAGAATTACTGGTAAAAGTCCTGCAAAGTTAGTAGCCCTTCCAGACTATGCCTTGCAATTCAAGGACCAAAACACAAACCCATCATCCAAATTTACTGACTAAATGGTAGTGCAAATGGCACAAGGGAAAACACAGCTAATTTTACCAAACTTTTCAGTGACGCTGATGAAATTGTAACTACTGCATGGCAATATTTCCCCCGTTCTATCTTCCTAGGAGAAGAATTGTAACAGGTAGGGAGACACATATATTGATCTAGAGAACATAGTTAAAAACAAGAATTTGAGTGAATATACCAAGTAATTTATGTAACAATGCATAGATACTGATAGGCATCGAAATTGTTAGGTAACTCATTTAGTCAGGTTTCCTTCTCTCTATAGCTAGAAAAAAAAAAGAATTGTAGCAACACAGATGCACATTCACCTGAGTAACTTACATGACAAGTACGCACGAATAGATTGCTGTAAATAAAAGAGTAAACCAACACTACTTATGCAACACATATCTGCATCATATGAATATACAAGAGTAATTTATCTAACCGTAAATTGATAGGCATTACCATTTTCATTATTCTGGGAAAGAAGGAAAACATATATATGCATATTGATATAGTATCCAACTGGAACTACAACTTGGGATAGGGTTTAAATTTTGAAATTTGTGTCTATCCACTAAATATATCTCGAAATTTAAACTCGTCTAAAGGTGATAAGTAATCATCCCTTCTACTACTAGACAATGTCAAAACGAAACAAAAATCGAAAAAAGGGATAAAGAGAGGATTTCACCAAATGAATACATGAAATCATCAAGTGGAAGCAACACCAACACCAACATTGATACCAAAATCTTGCATCTGCTGCAGCTCCTTCCTCTTAATATACTGATTCAGAATGGCAAGCCTGGCAGTCTCGAAAGCAAAGTAACCCAATGCCGAAAAGCAAGCGCTGTGAAGAACTCTGGGCCCCACTCCTCTCGTAAACCCCACCCACCCTTCCTCCATTAAAATCTGCTTCACCGTCCCCGAAACCCCGCCCTGCGCCGCACCAGTCATCAGCCTCGTCTTCACCACATCAAGTGGCGTCGTAATGGAGGCCGATATTGCTCCGGCCAACGCCCCGCACACCACGCTCTGTATCGGCTCCAAATTGGTCTGCTTCGTCTTGCTCAGCACCGCCGATTTCAGGTACTCGAACGACGAATAGCTCAGCACACCCGCAGGCAAGTTCCTAAGCAATGTGGCAGAGTACCCTGCGTAAAGACCCAGAAAGCCGTCGTTTTCGAGGATCTTGAGCAGCACCTGCCACGACCTCCCTTTGGCCCCGGCTTGCATCCGCTGCGTGATGAGCTCCTTGGGCACCATTATCGCGGAAGAGACTATGTTGCCCATGGCTCCGGCCGTGGGAGGGATGAGAACGGGAGGGTAATTGGGTAATTTGGAGAGAACCGACTTACCCAGTTCGCAGGTGCCGAAGTAGACGGCGGAGGATGCGGTGGAGCCGACGATGACGGCGGAGATGCCGCTGTAAAACCCCGAAATACCCTTGGTCTGGAAGGTCTTGAGGACTGCATCGAAGGTGTTTGCGTAAATGTCTGAGGCGCCTTTGGTCTGGAGCTTGGTCTTGATGGTGTCCAGAGGGTGGAGGCAGAAGTAGGTGAAGGCTCCGGCTATGCCTCCGCCGCCTGCGCCGATGAGGGCGCGCTCGAAGACCGTGAGGTTCTTGAGCAGGATTTGGGTCGTGGGGCGGGTACTGGGTCGGGTAATGGAGGCCCAATTGGGGGTGGAGGAGGTGGTGTTGGTGGTGGTGGAGGCAAAGAATGGGATGTGGTTTTGGGTAGGGGTGAGGGTAGTTTGGGGATTTGGAGTGATGAAATGGGTGAAGAGGTTGTGGAAGTCATTGGACGACTGAGTGTGGTGGTTTTGATTGGGTGCGGGGAGGCCCAGAGAGGCTGAAAGTCTACCCTCCATGGCTTGCTCGCTCAATTCTCTCTCGCTCCCTGTGGAGATGGAGGTGGATGTGAGCTTTTATTATCGACTAGTCACCGAGGAGTGAGCGCCACGGAAAATGAAAGTGTACGAAGTCGGTAGGTCGCTGTATATCCTGTACGTGGACAGACATGAGAATTACATTTCGGTTGTATTTTGGGAGAGATTAGTGTGTCCAGACCGGTCTGGTCTGATACTTAATTACAAGTGCTTGGATACTTAAAAACAAAAGTTTCAATCGATTGTATTATGAGATTTTATGTATCGGGAGAAAATTTTCAGTCAGATCGTTACACAGAGTAGTACATCACATATCGTTATATAAATTGTGAGATATGTATGTTAAAAAGTTAATAACTTAAAAAATAAAATTTTCTACCACTTACATAAAAACATATGCTATACCACCCGTATTCCCGTCACAACTAAAAATTTCTCGTGTATCGGAGCGTATTCCTACCACACTGAAAATTTTCCCGTGTTTTGGACTAAACCCAAATTACGTTATTAGATTTTGTTTTTAGATTTTTTTATAAACCATATGATAATTTATACAAATCTAAACTACCTAGAGGAGATTCGAACTTGGTTAAAAAAAGAAAGTATGTTATTCTAACCAACTTGATTAGTACGCAGATTTATTTCTAGATTTGCTATGGACCAATATGTTCATTTTTCTTCTTCTTGGGCCATACTTTTAATTTTGTGGAGTAACTTAAATTACATATATTATACTGACAATCTCGTTCATTTAAGTTATTCTTGAAGTTTAGTTAGTTGTGTCACTAGTGTCACTTTGGTACACGTCCAACTCTTTCATTTAGAGGTGTCACTTTAGTGGGGCCGGCCCGAGCATGGCACCAACATTAAACCGTATTGATTGGAGACATCATCAAATGTGCTAGCTAAAATGCAGGTTTATTCACCTAATAATTTGATGAAAAACAAGTTAAACACAACAAATAACAGACCATACAGTTTCGTTTTTTCGTGTGCGCGGACTGATACCATTCAAATTCGAAAATTGCCTTCCAATGATGTTTAACATGCTTCAGTTACGCAAGCAGTTAAAGCTTCCTTCATAAGCAACACAAGACATTTGCTTCCCCATTCTGCAAACAACATTATTTGGACAGTAACCAAGAAGGGTTTGATGAGCTTACATCTCGATCTTTCGTTTAACAGTATGACTAATTATTTACATACAATGTTCTCCGAAATCAACAGAATATCGGTTTAGCAATCATTGTTATCTGTTTATATCACTCTACAGGAGGAAAATTTCCTGTGGTTCGAATATGTTCAAGGGTATTCCCTAGACCGTGCTTGCGCACTGCTTTGATAGCTACTGTGGATGCTTCTCCATACTCCAATAACCGAATTGTTCGTTTCCTGTATTCAAGAAGCTTCTTCTCAAATTCGGACAGTTGTTTAGATCCAACAAAACTAGAGGAGGAGGCATCATGATCAGTACTAGACCGAGAATGCATCTGCTGAGACTCCAGCCACATGCGCGAGAAGGCCAGACAGATACCTTCTTGCACTTCCTGTCTTAGATTTGGATATCCGTTAATCCTTATCCATGCTTGCATCATCACTTTCGCTAGCGATGATCCCATTACAAACCGAGGAAGGCCACGCCAGATGAGAACTGTTCGCCTGTCCACCAAGTCCACAGGAATTTGCAACCTCATGTTTAAATCGTGACAGAATTTTTCTACTTCATTGTAGAGGGATTGGCATTTGTATGTACTCCTGATTGCCAACTTTTGACACTGTTGACATAGCAAATAATCACCAAGATACATATATTTGGCATCCTTCGGAGCAAATCTGCCACAACTATAGCACCAAACAGTGCCATCGCCCCAATGCAAAGGGAAATAAACTTCTTGCCAAATACGATATTCCCAATGGTTCGTTACACCATCTAAATCTTCCGGGACAAAATTCTTTCAAACAACACAGGTAAGGTAGTGTTGATAAGGATGCACCTTACTGCTGGATTCGCCTTCTGCCAAATGAAGTTGTGCCGGTTGTTCATGACCATCCTCAGATTGAGATTCTTCATCGAGCAGCTGTTTCTCAGTAAGTGTCAAATAAAACTCTTCAGGTTCATCTCTTTTTAGGGCTTTCCAATGACAGAGCTGCGAAGATTCGTTCTCGTGTAGCTCCAAGAGCTCATATGGTTTGTCTATAAGATATTCGACTAGCAAACGCTTGTTTCTGGTTGTAATAATGATTCTACTCGCCGGACCATACCAGTTCTTTTTTCCAGCCAATGTTTCCATTTGATTTAATTCTTCCACCTCATCAATAACCAGAAGAGCCTTTTTCTTACAAAAACATTTCTTTGCCATATTCGACACACTGGAAGCATCCCAAACTTGCGTGACTGTCTGCAACGCTGCTGAAACCTCCTTGACATTACCAATAAATCTGCAAATTTCAAAGTTGTGGGAAATTCCCTCGTAAACAAGTCTAGCTAGAGTTGTCTTACCAGTTCCGCCCTCCCCCCATTTCCCTATAAAGCGAACATCATTTGCTTCAAGATCTAAAAGCGAATCTATCTTCTTTAATCTAAACTCAATTCCGACTAATTTCTTTCTTGAACCTAACAATGTGCATGTAGGATGCACTTTGTGACATATTGTGTCAACAATTTCTTTGATAAGATCATTCTCGTATCTACATCAACAGAAAAACAAAAACAAATAAACATGTTTGAACTAAGAAATCTTACGGAACAAATATGTATAAGATATACTACTATTTCATTTATGCATACCTATCTTTTGAAATCCACCCAAGCATATTACCCACTTTTGTCAACGCAGTTCTCCAACGTTGCACCTTTTCTGTGTCATTCATAAAGGTTTTCTCATGCTTGTTGAATGCTTGTGCAAAAATCCCGGTTTGTTTTCTAACATGGGAGGGATCCACATGGTAGAAAATTGGTAGAATGGTCTTCCTATCTTCCATGCATTCAACAATATGTGAAAGCTCATCTAAGCACCAGGTGGAAGAAGCATAATTCGGTGAGAGGACAATGATAGCAAACCACGATTCTTCGATTGCATTCAAGAGCTTTAGAGAAATAGTGGTGCCTCTTTCAAGTTCATGATCATCTCTGGAAGTTTTGATTGCTCGCTCCACCAATTTTTCATATAAATCATCTGTAAAATTATCCCTTGTGTCCTCACCCCTAAAACTTATGAACACGTCGTATTCCCACGGAGCGGCAGCCGGAGACTTGGAGACTCTTTGCTTGCTCAACGCCATTGGAAAATGATGGAAGCACTTTGCATCAAATTCTCCAAAAGATGCACGCGATACTGTCAAACCGTTGGGAGACTACAATTTCCGGGAAATATGAAAGCAAAACAATACACACTATATTTCCTGCGCCGATTTCATTTGAAATATTACGTCACCTCTTTTGGAAACAACACACAACTAGTAGTACAAGCAACTTGGTCTTAGATTTGAATACAAATAACATAGAAATTACTAGGGAGGCAAAGATTATCGAGGAATAATTAAGGACATTATTTTGGACTGGAAGGCTTTGGTGAAGAGCTTCTTTCCTTTCACCTAAAAACAAAGAGCTTCTTTCCTTGGAAGAGCCGTCCATTTTTGGACACTTTTTACATGCTAATTCATAAAAATAGGGATAAAAAAAACTTTAAATACTCGCAAGAGTACAATGTCAATTGAGGCATGCTGGCTGTCACGTGAAGGTGACGTAGCCATGTGCATTGTGCAGAAGTGAACGTGATATAAATATACGGATAAATAAAAACCAACTAACTAATTTACACTAGACTAGCATATCAGTGCGAGTGAAAGTGTTTAGAGTGTAGATACACACACAACCAGAGCGTAGGTATCAGAATGCAGTCCAGAAGTCTAATTACTAATTATACAATACCAGAGAGATGATCCTACATTATTTATAGTCTGTCAGAACCGCCGTCGACTCCTCGTAAGCCACCAACAAGCGCGCCTACCTAGAACCTGGAGGGGCGCAAAACAGAAAGTGTGAGTGGGCAAAAACAAAGCTTTTCAAAACAATTTATCTTTCCAAAAGTAATAACCCCTCATCGTAAAACCGGTATAATTTCCCAGAAAATAGTACTATGTACGTATATAAGAACCATGCTCGAGAATAGCAAAACCCACATGTATGCCATGTCAATCATCTCCACAATGCATAAGTAAGCCAAATGAAATGAATCAATATAAAATGACATATCAGCCGGAGTCACCTAACGAGACCTGTACAGTTGAGTCTATAACTCATCGGTCAAGTCCTGCACATGAGTCAGAACCATTTAATGTGGTCTGTACGACAAGCTAGGTATGAATAAATACGCTCAAGTGCTACAATCACGTGAAGGCTATGCGAAGTATCGCAAGTCACCTACGAGTCAGAACCACCTAATGTGGTCTGTACGACAGGCTGGCACTTGCCCTAGATCTAAGGTGAGCGTGTGGTGTTGGAGGTGGACGATCACATGAAGGCTAGGCCTCGGCCTCGGGCGGAGCACTAACACCGGGATGCAGGATAATGAATTCTACGCACAACAATTCATCACTAACTACTATGTAATCATACCAACAATGTGTACTCACCTGAACTTACCTTGGCCTCCACAATAGCATGCCATATTATGCAAAGCTACACTAAATCATATGCTAAAATATAAAGCAAATATGACACGGCATTTTAAAACATAAAAACAATTTAAAATTATTTCTCGGAAAACGTAAAGCATATATACGTATATATTGAAAACCAAAAGCCCACTCACTAATATGTGGCAGGGTCGTAACCCCCGAGTCTCGCCTGACTGCGTTCGTCCTCCGGAAACGTCTCACCTATATGTGAAAAAACTATTTTAACGTTAATTTTAAGCACATAACCAAAACTATGTAATAACTTCTCATACGTTGCTCAATTGAGATGTTTGAATATACCGTCGTGGCCTACTCAACATTACGAAGATCCCAATATTTTTAGAAAAAAATTTCGATGTCCCACGTGCTGTCATGCTCCGGCCAAGCGCATGCACGTGCCTGGCACGCTAACGGTAACCTTAACACTGTTAGGGAATATTCAGTTAAATAATAGAATATTCCATTAAAGATACCTAACGTCGTTAGGCATATTCCGTCAAAGTTGATGGAATATTCTCCTTTCTTCTCCGGTGGTTCGCCGGATTCCGTCACCGGCCGCCGCTGCGTCACCGAAAACTGGAAAAAAATTCAAATCTTAATATCTTCCTCGTTTTTCAACCAAATTCCACGAAATTTATGTCAAATTGAAGCCCTAAACAAGTAGAACATTTTCTTACCCCTCAGAGGTCCAAAAACTGACGGAAACTGGTCGGGAAGTTCCTCGAATTCCAGCTAAACCTGGAAACCCATGGTTAAGCTTATCCCGACAGCCAAACTACTTCAAAATTACTTCAACACACCATGGAAGCTAGAAAAATACCTTCTTAAGTCCCAACACCACCTAAAACGGTTGCAATCATGTCAGAGCAATTTACTCTTCTCGCCGGAGCTCGAGTATCTCGAGTTCTACAAGTTCTCTTCTCAAACAAAAGGTATGGCTCGACTCATGACGTTGAGGGAAGCACGAAAATGTTATCTTCACACTCGATCTGTGGGTGTATGAAGATGTTTGAAGGTTATGGGGTTTGTTTGTACGGACGGGGAAGAGGGTTCGAGAAAGAGAGAGAGAGAGAAAGAAAGAAAAAGGTACGGTGCACGTGTGGACGTGTGTGTGTACATGCTTGGATTGGGCAAATTTTAAATTATCCTAAGCCCTAATTGGGCTCCATGCCTAGGCTCATGCAAACTTAGGTCCAATCCAACTTCCTCATTTCCTTAATAGTATTACCACTACGAACCCAACTCGGCCCCTAAATCGCGTCGACATTCTCGTAACGTCAAAAATAATTTCAACCATATGCATACATTCACAACACAAGGTCCACGAGGGCAAAATCATCATTTCCACGCATTCGAGGATAAAAATATTTTTTAATTCGGGACGGGCTGTCACATCGTTCTCCTTAAGAATTGAATAAATAATCTATGTTAAATCAAATCTTAATTAATTATTTAACAAGATTTGAGAAAAAGTTGATTTTGTGATTCAAAATAATAAAAACGAATTTTAAATTAAAAACAATTAAATAAATTGCAAAGTAGAGAATACAAAAGAAAATAGTTTTGAAAATCAATTTAAGCACTAAGGTTATGCCGTTACCTTAACAATCCTACGTAGTTCTTCCAATTACTTATGACTTACACATGCATATTTGAAGGTTTTTTTTTTGTTTTTGTTTTTTTTTTTTTGTTTTTTTGAGCAACACATATTTGAAGGATAGGTTTTCCTAATATATGCCTACTCAGACCCCCAACATAGAGCATATACCAAACATGCAATCCGTTTGTGGTATTCATATCAAATCTAAACATGCATGACTCGTTAAGTTTTGTGAAACCTTTTGAAAAACCAAACAACCCTTAAGACATGTTATTCATCCTAAGTGAACTTGCACATATTAACCACAAGAAGCCTTCGTCAATTTCAGGGACCAACCTCCTACCAAATTACATCAAATTACTTCTCTAAATAACCTAATGGTGATCAAGCATCAATAAAATTAGATAGTTGAAACCGGTGATTAATAATTGAAACCTGTATGCCTAATATCATAAGTAAATTGAAAAGAAACTACATATTATTGCTAAGGCTCGTGGCCTAAACCTTGTGAAATCCCATCCTCGGAATTCACTATTTAAAATTATGTATTCCGTATTCTTAGTTTCGACGCGTTTATAATTATGGCGTGTAGTTTTTATTTTATTTTATATATAAGTAAAAGGATGAAAATGCACTTAATGAATTAAACAGACTTTTCGAGGATGTATTTAATTCCTATATGTTTTGTCACTTTTATTTACATATTTGGATAAAACTCGACCTCACGAGTGCGTAGGCGAAAACCGTTCGCCAAACGGAGCTATAACAAATGAGATATAAACCAGTAAAGACAGGGCGAAATAGTCATTTGACCATTATCTGGAAGGCTCCAGATTTGCTGGAGCACTGATTTTGTGCCACGTGTGTGGCTAGGATGAAAACATGGGGAGATAAATGAGGGAAATGAGGGAGAGACGGGCCAATCAGGAGGGAAGGAAATGAAGGGAAATGAGGGAAGGAGATAGGAGAGAACCGGTTTACCCAGTCCCTTCCTTTCAACCCGCGACCCGACCTGACAGAATCCATGATTCCCAATGCCTTTCACATAGATTTTCCAATGAATTGAAGCTACTCACCTCCTGGAATCAACCTAGCATCATTTCCTCTTCCATTTTCACTAAAAAACCAACAAAATTTGACCTTGATTTTGTGAAAAGCAGCACGATGGATTCAACAGGTTCTTGACGGTGATTCACCAAACCAAAAGCTAACTCCGTCAATCACCATCGCCAATAAACTCTCCTCAAGCTCAGGAATAAAGCCCAAGCAGTGATTGAGGCGTCAGAGTTCGTCTTGGGGTCGAATCGAGAACATCTATTCCTAAGGTTTCTGACGGATTGAAGGCACTTTCAGGTGTTTCCTGGCTAAATTGGACTTCGGTCCAGGTATGAAAATTCTTCCCCTCGTTGTACTTTACAATTCTGTAAAATTTGGTAATTTTTTGGGTTAAGTGAATTTTCCAGCAAGTCGAGGTGGCGGCGCGTGGCTCAATAACCCACTTGACCCTTCTAAGCTAAATTTGATACCCTGATTCCATATGTGACATTCGATGGATGAAATCCTATCGTTCAAACATAGTTTCGTTAGGGTCTGCCTCTTGATCATTATAACCATCAATGATTCGACCGTTGGATTATCACCAAACATTAATGCGTTATAGCAGGTAATATTTGAGGACATTAGAAACTAATAGATTAGGAATCCGACGTATAGATCTTGATGAATTGAATTTTTACGTTTGTAAAACTAATTGTTGATCGCAACCTAATTCTAGCAATTGGCGGAGATTCGACCGTTGGATCATTCCAAAATTTTAGGATATTGTTCTAGAAGATTAATAAGACTCTTGGACTATTACGGATCAGAAATTCATGGGTGGATGTTCCAGATCAAATTATATAGGGTTGGACCCCACAATTGACTGAGAGTTGACATTTGGTCCACCTGTTTCACTCATCCTAAATACTAAAATTAGCACTACTAGAGACTAAGTGAAGTCTTG